GAAACTCGGAAATGGCTTATTACATTCGATGTGCTTGTGTGAAGTCTCTGAGAGCTTTTGTGATATCGTGGACTTCCTTAAGCCTCAGATACCTTGAGTTATCATATAGTGATAAAACCGACAGTGCTTAACATTGGACAGTGTCTTGCTCAAGGAAACACCGTGGCCCAGGCTTGGCTCGAAGTGCGACCGCTCAGTCCGGAAGCCGAGGCACTAAAGTTATGCCTCGCTCAAATTGAAAAGAGAGCAAAGGTGCTGGGTACTGGCTAATTGTTATGGCAGCCTGACAGAATGCTGAGGAGTACCCTGTGATGGACAAGCATCCCAGTCAGGGGGAGCCACTAGCCGCTAGGCTAAGAAGCCTTTTCTTTTCAGTGTTACTTTTCAGGAATAGTAAATGTAGAAATGGCATTAACTCGGAAAAAAAATCCGAGTTCCACGAAGCTTTTAATGATCGCGCCCTGATTTTTCTTTGTTAATAGAGCGGTATCAGAAACAGCGTTTTTTCTCTCCTCAGGGTATTGATGTCGAAGAAATAACCAACACCGCATCTAGGCGCCCTTCTATGCTGATCGGTTAGTATATTTACGAGTAATTATTTCAAAGTGAATTTTGCTGCATGTGTGTCCAGGTTCACAAATGGGAAAATAGAGAAGGGAAAACATCGTAGCCTAAACATTTTCTCATGGATTTTGTCTTCGATTGTCCATTTCGTAACTCTTTCAAAAATTCGTGGGGCTACTCTTGTTAAGATACTTTCGTAACACTAAACCCTCAGGTTCATAAAGGTGAGGTTGGTCGAGCAAATTTTTAACGCCGATTTTTAACCTACGTTACGCGAGACAGCTTTTAACGCAGCGTTATTGTGGCTACGGTATGTCACTCGAAACAATTTCTAACGCAACACTGTAATTTCGGGCTAAAATTTTGCAAGTTTTTTAATCGCTTTCGAAAACCTGCAGGAAGTTGCCGCAACAAAACTTTACGTTAAAAGTCGCCCTGTGCGCCATGTTACACGATATCGATTTTCAACGCAAGAATGTTGCGTTAAAAATGAGCGTTAAAAACGGGCTCTTGTAACATCACCTTTAAACAAATGTGCTGATTATCTTGCATGTGCCAGGAACACCCAGATACGGTCCTGTAGACTACTCTGGAGTACTTTATATCCAGGGAAGAGACGCCACAGACTACGTTGGCGTGGTGTTTGGCTATCAATCAAACCGCAAGTTTTATGTGGTGATGTGGAGAAGAGAAAACAGCAACTTCCAGGAGTTGAATGATCGGGCAGCAATTAAAGGCCTTCAGCTGAAGGTGCGTTCATTGCTAGGCAACAATGTAGTGAAAGACTTAGCTGCTTATAAATTTGAAGTCAACCAACGCAGAGAGCTTGAAGTGTTGATGTTTCGAACCTAACTTGTTTTTAAGATTCAAAACATCGAAGTCTTTCACTTGCTCCACATCGCAACACAACAGTTGCTATATAGACTAATC